ACTACTACACGACTACTACTACACTACACACACACACACACACACACACACACACACACACACACACACACACACACACACACACACATATATATATATAGTATATATATATATATATATATATATATATATATTGTGCACATTTTATGAGACATTCAATAGATATTATTATATTAAAGTATATATATGTATACGTGGTGTCTAATAATATCATGTTGGCCGCGGTCTATTGCTCCACGTTTTTCGATTTCTAAAGGCGCTTTCCCTATTTTCGCTACAGAGTACATTTCACATTACCGACGACTATATGAGCGAAATGCAAACGGATATAACACCCAAGATGCGAGGGGTCCTGATCGACTGGTATGTGTCAGTACTCGAATACAATGTGGTTTAATTTTAACATTTTGCCAACATTGTGTAGACCAATGTCTTAGTTGTTGTCATACATATACGTTCGACATTTATACGTTTTCCACTTTGGGTTTACACTAACTGTATCCTACCTGTCCGAAAACAGACTTTGTTTTATTTATGTTATGTAGCACTGACATTTTCCACTACGCACTCTATGCTAACAGGCTGATAGAGGTTCATCTCAAATTCAAGCTACTCCAAGAGACATTGCATTTAACCATCAATACCATCGACCGATACTTGTCAGGTTGTTGTCATTGCTACTAATAGTCCATCGTTTTGGAAGTGGATGAATTCTGTCACTATTGACCTTTTCACGGCTGTTGTATTGTAATATTGCTTATATCGGTGGGACATGCTCGGAACTTATTATCGAAAATTGACTTTGGGTTCGATACTGTGCCCGGCGAAAATGGGATTTTGGTACCGCTTAAGTGTCATCACATGAATGCTTCTTTGGCTTTATATGTATTGTGCGGTCAATTCTGGAGTTAGAAACGCGATGTAAGCTAGTATAGCACTCACTACGAATTTCAATATCTGCTAGCTTACAAACCGTGACCTACTATCACGTAAAGGCCGTTTTCAACCGTCTACGTTCCAAGTAGCAAATCATGACTGATGTGCTGACAAAATCACATCGATTTCCTTCCCTATCCAGTGACTGTTATTGACCGCAACCGCCTTCAGCTGGTTGGTGTCACTGCCATGCTGATCGCCTCCAAGTTCGAAGAAATATACGCGCCGGAAGTGCGCGACTTCATCTACATCACAGATAACGTATGTTTATATTTACCTTTGAAATCAATTCAAATGTACAAACAAGCGGTCACGTATGCAAGCCTATGTAATTGCTGTACGTGGGTACTCCTCAGAATTCTTCTTTTTTCATTTGTAGACATGTGCATATAGGTATATATATGTATATATATACCATTAAATCATGTTGTTGCTATTGTCTTCGTATCACTTTCGCGGGTTCTGCTATGCAGAAATCTATAGTCGACCTGATATATACGCCTATATTTCATTCAAATATATGTGCGCATACATACATACTGACCATATTGCGATATTCACTTTTAGGCATACAACCGAGAAGAGATTCTCGTTATGGAGCGGAAGATCCTCAACACACTGGGCTTCAAATTCGGAGTGCCCCTATGCCTGCACTTCCTACGACGGATGTCGAAGAGCGCCGAAGCAGACCCCCAGACACACACACTCGCCAAGTACTTTATGGAGATGACGTTAACGGACTATCATCTAATGCAGAACTATAAGCAATCCGAGATTGCAGCCGCGTCATTGTGTCTGGCACGGAAAATGATGGACTTGGATAACTGGGTAGGTGTTGTATACATATTATTACACGTCTATTTTCAAGCGAATTTGTTAAACCATATACTTCCACGGCGGACCTATGAATTAGCAGACCTGATAAATATGTAAAAGTACGTTTAGATGTCGCGTGGTATGTTTGACGCGGCTTTTACTATATATTCTTCTCAAACTGGGTAGCAATACTGTTTCCGTACTAAAAATTGCATGGCCTGCGATGAAACTAGTATTACTCGCGCGGCGATTCGGGTCAAGTTGACGACGATTCCATTTATATCCAGATGTTGATCAACGATTTCACCTCTCCCTATGCAGAACGAGAACATTGTTTACTACAGTACGTACGACGAAGATGATATCACACCCTGTGTGATGGAGATATTTCAAATAATTAAGAATTCGCCCCGGGCTAAATTCCAGGCGTGTCGAAAGAAGTACTCGAGCAACCGATTCTTCCGTGTCGCTCACCTCGCCGAGGAACAGGCTGAAAACGTACTATAGGGGAGAGGTAGTATAAACAGTCCTCTTCCAATCGATGTGAATGACCGTGGTTGTTGTGAGCATGTGCGTTCTATAACAGAGATAGTACGGTCAAGCGATCAACGTACACCAATCTTGGTCGGTATCTATGAGATGTATATGTATGCCGGCAGTGGCTTCCAATCGGATATAGAATATAAGGAGCGCTGTTTAGGTATAGATGCTGTTTGAGGTATGAGGTGTATTGTAATTGAAGAGGGACCGATCTTATCGGCGATGTATGTTTTTATATAACGACCAGTGGTACGCAGGCTTACGCGTCCACTGTCATAATCAATGTAAACGACTATAATAAGCCTGTAACAATCAGATGTGATTGGTTATAGGCCTGTTAAAGTCGGATGTGATTGGTCATCAGCCTATTACTATCAAATTTGATCAGCAACAGGCAAAATCACGTGGTGTATGCTGGGTGAGTGCACGGCGGATACAGGTGCATTGTGCATATATACACTATTGTGTCCCTGTGCAAGTTAGCCGCACACCAGACGCGAATGACCAGATACGGTACAGCACGCAACCAATCCTTAAACACCCCATAGACTGTCCTCAAAGTCACACTAAACGCACAAACAGTAAAAAACACAACACATCAGGTGCGTGAGAAAGGCACGGCACAGAGTGAGGTATCGAAAGAATGAGAGACGAATTATTAAATGCACAAAGCGGACAGGATACCCGTAGATGACCGGGAAATCCCGGTCAGAGTTGTAAATCTTCTGAATAAAGCAAAATGTCTATCAATGGTGAATGCCCCT